AGTATTAATTCAATGCAAAATGTTTTCGACAAATAAATTATTGTCTAAAATATTAATGCATTTAGAGATTAGATCTTTACATTAAAAACACACACAAACAAAACTTTTCACTGATATTATCGCCACTGATATAAACACTTAAATAACAATAAACTTTTGCATTCAAAACAAATTGATTGACAGATAATAATAATTAGAAAAAAATCCATTCTCTATAAACACACAATTAATCACAAAAAATACGGGGAAATGGATGCTTAAAAAGCCACACAAACCTTCATAATTGCGGAGCTCTAAGTAGTGGACGGGCAGGTGTTGACTGTCGACTGGGTAGTTGACCACATGAGCCGAGTGCAGCTCCCGGTCCCTAATCGGTGATATCAGTTGACAAACGGCAGTGTAGTCGGACTGCGCGCACGCTATATGTAGGGCTGTGTTCCCGTGTCTGTCCCGCAAGTCGACGGTCGCCCCGCTTATGACCAGTCGGCGCACGATATGCGACTGTCCCGTGAGGGCCGCCAAATGTAATGGTGTCTACGGATAGGGCCATAAAAAATATAAATTAATAAAAATGCATAAAAAGTTCATATATTTCCTAAAAAATCGTATTAACATTAATCCTAAAAATTATTCACTAAATCAGCATAAAATAAGTACCTAGGATAGGTGTGCAGTACAAATAAATTCCGATTAAAGTCTAAACTTTATCAAGGCAATTTAATAACAAATCAATTGTGAAATAAAATTATACCAAAATGTGGTCAGTTAGCAGGCACCTAGATTACACTTAAAATAGACCAACAAACACTAACCTTGCTTATTAATATTTTGAAAAAAAATAAATTCAGATTCAATACTATCCTACAAAACCTATGAATAGAATGAAACAAAACACACAAAAACTTATGAAAAAAGTACACTATTTCTGAACACAAGTTCACTACAAACCACAAAAACTACACTAAAAACGTGTCCATCATCTCAATGGTGACCACAAAACAGTCACCACAACCTCTTATGTCCACATAATCACCGCAACATACCTGCGATAAATGATTGGTGGCGTCCAGGAAGTCCGGGTCGGGCGCCATACGTATGAGAGCGTAGGCC